TCTAAATCCACGATATTTCATCTAGAGAAAGCATTGTTTTTAGTGGATATGTTTACTGGGAAATCAAAATTACATATGAGGAATCTGCTGGATTTTAAAAGGAATAAAGAAAAGAAACTGAGTCTCCTTAGAAAAATAATTTGGAATAATCGTTGACTAGGAATTTTTCCTCCAGTGGAGTAACTATTCTGTGTAAAGAACTTTGATCTTGGGCTGGAGAGAGAATGGAAAGGTTAAAAGCACATACAGCTCTGCCAGAGGACCAGAGAGTGGTTCCCAGCACCCAGGTCAGGTGCCTGTAACTCCAGCTCCAGGGATCCATCACTCTCTTCCGGTATCCTTGGGCACTGACCTCATATAAGCATAACACACACACACACACACACACACACACACACACACACACACACACACACACACCATACTTAAACCCTTAAATGAGCTGTTTTCTCAACTCCATTTTCCATCCTAAACATTATCATAAGGTTCAGGTCCTCAAGGTTGGAAATGGTGCCGCTTACTCTGGAGAAAGTTTCCAAATCACAAGGACAAAACACTTACTGTTCATGGTGACTGCAGTAATAGAAGTCAGTCTCTAGGGGCTGGAGAGATGGCTCAGCAGTTAAGAGAATGGGTTGCTCTTGCAGAGGACCTGGAGTTCTGTTCCCAGAGCTCACATCGGGGCTCACAACCATCTGTAACTTCAGTTCCAGAGGCTCCAAGGCCCTCTTCTGGCCTCCTAGGGCATTACACACAGATGGTGCCCAGCTATACATGGAGGCAAAACATCCATATGCATTAAAAATAAATCTTTTTTTGTTTTTCAGTTGGTTCTGATCCTTCTCTAAGTCCTTGGTTTGTCCAACTTGGAGGTGCCTTGTGCTTTTTGTGTTCTAAACACATACTAGTTTTCCTCAAAGTTCTATCAAGTACAAAAGGTAAATGTGGCCGGGCGGTGGTAGTGCATGCCTTTAATCCCAGCACTCGGGAGGCAGAGCCAGGCGGATCTCTGTGAGTTCGAGGCCAGCCTGGGCTACAGAGTGAGTTCCAGGACAGGCTCCAAAGCTACACAGAGAAACCCTGTCTCGAAAAACAAAACAAAACAAAAAACAAACAAGAAAAAGGGTAAATGTGATCTAACATAGTAGAGTCTGTGAAATTTTTTTCAGCCTAATGAACCTGTTTCCTTATATGCTAATGGTACATGCCATTATCCCCTGCACTTGGGGAGGTGGAGGATGAAAAATCTGGAATTCAAGGTCATCCTCCAACCTCATTTCAAGTCTGAGGCCAGCCTGAGCTACATGAGACCTTGTCTCAAAACAAACAGCAAGAAAATATTTAATAAAAATCGTAAGCTAAATTGGATTCTAAGGCTAAACAAGTGATCAACTACTCTCAGTCCATCTCATTTGTTAAAAAGAAACAATAGAGGCTGGAGAGAGCTCAGTGGATAAGCATGCTTGCTATTCTTCAAGTGGCCCTGCGTTTGGTACCCAGCACCCATGTCGGATGGCTAACAACCATTTGTAACTCCAGCTCCAGAGGATCCAATGCCCTCTTCTGTCCTCCAAAGACTCCTGCTCACATGTGGCATAATTCCCCCACAGTCCCTATAATAAATAAAAACAAATCTTTTTTTAAAAAATACCAAAATATTCCACTCTGGAACTGGCTTAAGTTGATTTTTTTCTAGGGAGATAGGGTGATGCAGACATAGTAATCCATCCCAGGTTCCCATTCCACAGGCATGAATCCGTGATATCATATTGTCATGATTTGAAACAGCTATTTTTGTCTTACCCTAAATTTTAATCAATTAAACCATGATTATATTTATTATATATTTATAATATTTAATATAATATATATTATCAGCTAAATTTGAGGTTGGTTGATTGATCAACCACACAGTTGTAGTATTTGGCTATATTTGTTACTACAGTTCACTACATCTGCTGTGATAAAAGGATGGTCCTGTTGGCCTCTGGCAGGAAGAGGATACTCAAACCATTTTGATGTGTCTTTTGGTATGATAAGTTGAAGATTTTTAAAAATTATTATTCCCAAGAGTTTATGTATATGAACTAGACCCTAGGTGGGTAGAATCCCAGTTCTTCCACTTTCTAACTAGAGACTCTCTAGATATTTGTTGGAAGTGTGGTATTTTGAATAGGACTGGCTCCCATTGGCTCAAATATTTGAATGCTCCATCATCAGGGAAGCGGAGCTCCCTGAGATAGGTTAGGTGGTACTACCTGTGTGTGTTCACCTGCTCCGTTCTAAAGTTCAGCACTGGGAGGTCCATTGCTGTCTCCCAAGCAAAGGCAGGATTACCCACCCAGACTTCATCAGCAAACAAAGACAAGACTTTCCTCTTCAACTGGTTGAATAGTTTCCACACAGGAAAAAAACCCTTTCATTGACCCTTTCTTTAAATAAAAACAAGTTTTTATTTTATGTGGATGTATGCCACAGCTGAGGAGGTGAGTCAGATCCCCTGGACATGGAGCTACAGATGACTGGGAGCAGCCTGGTGTGAGGCCGGGCTTGGGTCCTCTGGAAGAGCGGTGAGCATTCTCGCCAGTTGCGCCGTCTCTCCAGCTACTGGTCCCTTCTAACGCCCACACTTACTTCCCTTTCATCTGTTTTCTTAGGTTGTTTTGAGACAGAGCCTCACTCTGTAATCCAGACTCAAAAATCCTTTGGCCTCAGCCTCCTGAATGGTGGGGTTTCAGGTGTATGACACCATCCCTGGATTCTTCTTAAACTTTCTGCGACAACTAGTGAGGTCCATTGGAAAGATAAGTCTCAAAAGCATTTATCAAATTAGATCAAAAGACATATAATGTGCTTAAAACTTGTAGAATATAACTTCTATCATGCATATTTTGCATAATTCAAATGTTTTTTATGTAATATGGATCGGTGGGCAGAAAACTGAACTAGCACACACAGACATTTGGGTTCAATACCTAGTACCATCTTTATTTAAAAAGTAAAATCATTCCATTTTAATAATAAAATATCCATTTTCAAGAAAAAAATGAAATAAAAGATGAAACGCCATGTTCAACAAAATACGAATTATCCCATATATAACATAAAATATTTATTTGCTATTTACATTTCCATTTGTATTATATCACATATCAAAAAAGACTGAAGGAAAGAAAAAGAAACCCGGCAATGTGAGCCACGGCCCGGGGAGAAGTGTGGCGCGTCGTGGGACCTATCAGCAGTCTCGGAGATCTCGCTTCTTGCCTCGCTTGGCCTTCTTGTGTGTTTCCTGGCGAATAGTGTCGTATTCCAATATGGCCATTCTGGAAAGCCTTTGTAGAAACTGAGAGGGCGCTCCTGTGAAAGGGTCACTGAAGACAGAACCTGTGAGAGAGAAAGTCAGCTCTGTATATGATGAGGGAGTGTGGTTCCTTCCACTGATGCCTAGGAAACCCTACCGAGTCTTTGCAGGCACACCTGGAACTTTCCAGAAAGGCTAATGCCTACTTCTGACAAAACCAAAGAATGGAAAACTTTTGAGTATATGGCTCAGGAAACTTTACCACTAACTTTGGTTACCAATTACTTCAGGAAAATGTTAAGAGCCGATTACAGGGCTCATACACCAGATATGTCTATTCTATCACATGCCATATGCATTGCCTCAGACACTATACCTCCAAAATCTAACATGTACAGGGAGGAGGCAGTAAATGCAGACGCCTGAATTCCTAGAAGGTTCTCTGTAATCTTGTAGATGTAATTAAGTTACCTGACTCAGCAGAGGTTTTGATGTCTACTCTCAAAAAACAAATTTCTAATCAAGTATATCAGAAGTGAGAAACTGGGAATGTCTGATTCTAAAGTAGCAAAGGACAGACTCCCTCCAGATATGGTAGGAATACTCAGTGGTGCTTAGAAAGAAACTGATTTAAGAGTCAGTTGTGGGGGGTGCTGGAGAGATGGCTCAGAGGTTAATAGTACTGACTGGTCTTCTAGAGGTCCTGAGTTCAATTCCCAGCAACCACATGGTGGCTCACAACCATCCATAATGAGATCTGGTGCCCTCTTCTGGCCTGCAGGCATATATGCAGGCAGAACACTGTAAACACTGTATACATAATAAAAAATAAAAAAAAAAAATAAGAGTCAGTTTGGGGCTCTAAACAATTGCAATACAGATAGCTGCTGTAGCGAAATGTGTTCAGTACACAGAATTAACTTAAAAAATAATAGAAGATAAGGATAGGGGGCTGGAGAGATGGCTCAGCAGTTTAGAGCACTGGCTGCTCTTCCAGAGGACCCGGGTTGATTCCCAGGACATGGAAGCTCACAACTGTCGATAACTCCAGTTCCAGGGGATCCTCGCATGCCCTCTTCTGGACGCTTAGTGCACTATACACATGGTGTACAGTACTACTACACTGGTAATCAAAGCACCACACACATAAAACAACAGTTGTTTTTTAAAAAAGATAAGGATAGCATGGAACTTTCTGGGAAGGTGGTAAAGGGTTCAGTACTGCATTCACATTTTAGTTCGTGGTAAGGAGCAGGTGTTTCTGAAACAGGGGGGTAGCGTGATTAGGCGTCAAGGCTGCATGCTTCTGTTGCAGTGCTGAATGACTTTAAAACTCAGAAATTTAAACTAAGGTGGCCAGCTTGAAGGCTACTAAGTGGCCCAGGTGAGCTATGTTGGAGGCTGGCCTGGGTCCTGAGACAACAGAGCATGTGTAATGAACCTCAAACCCCCTAAATTTACAGACTAAGCAAAGCTTAACAGAAGCATTAACATGCAACCGGTGCTTGTAAGAAGCACTCCAGGGGACTGGGGCAGGAGGATAGCTGGGAGCTTCAGGCCAGCCTTGGCTACACAGGAAAACCCTGTTCGAAAAGCAAAGGTGTGGGGAGCAGGCAATGGAACAATGGAGTACCTTTTGACTTCTCCTGAAGGGCTGGCACGGTGCACGGCTCCTTGGTCTTCTTAATCCTAAAGATTACGGATGGTCATAAAATGGCATAGAGTAACCCACAGGCTGTTGACTTTGAAAGACACAAGAGGCTAACAGCAAAGCCTCAGTCACGCTCACTGGCTTCTTACGTTTTGTGTGGCTCAGTTTGTTTCTGTGCGGGGACAAGTCCCACGCTCCTGCGTCTGGTTAACATATGATATGTCCCACTAAAACTCACCTTGTCCAATGATATCACATGGGGACAAAAACCAGTGGTGCAGGAGAGAAACAACTCCACCCTCACTAACCCCAACAGTGGGAATGAACCGACCCAACGGTAGATTTCCTGATACATTTCGCCAGTAGCTAGGCACGGAGTGTAATTCTTCACAGGCGTCTGTGGTAACTGTAAGTAGTCAGGACAGCAGCGACACTAATGTGTCTGGATGTGTTAGATGCAGACGCCCGGGTCCCATATTTTTGCACTTTTTTTCATCAGTCACCATGATTTGAACTTTTGCTATAATTTTGCACCTAAACGAACAGACTGCCATAACAAATTATGAGGGGAAATGGGTAAGGAATTGTAAAGATTCCACATTTCATATAACTATGGTAAACTCTAATCTTTACCTCTATGATGCTATTGTCAGTTACAGTCCTTGTGTGTTGTGAGAGTCACTGAAAATTTCTGGTCCTCATTAAGAACATTTGAGAAAAGATTAGACATTTACCAGAGTTTTGGAGTCAAATATTCACACACTGGAGGGCCAAAAAGAAGGTAAGAAACTGTGCACAAAACAAATAACGGAGTACTTCCCTGCTTTGCCAAGATTGTTCTCTCAGAGAATGATGTGCAACATGCAGAGGGGAATAACACACGTGAGGCAACTTGGTGCGTCCTCACTGGAGTAGCTGAACTCAAGGCATTTCAACCAAAGGCAAGGAAACGCGTGAACATTGACATTTGCCTAGAGTTCACAGACACCATGTCACTTAGTCCCCACACTCCTCTTTCTGTATGAAGAACACTAGCCAGACTGTGATGAAATTCACAGCTGTCAATGGAAAATGTCAGAAGTGATTTCCTGAACAGCCTGATCACAAATGACAACCAACACCGGATCAAGTAGGAAAGAGGGTGAAGATTCTCTGTCACGATCTCTATTTCTGCCTTCTCTTTTTGAGATTATTGTCTCATGTAGTTCATGTAACTGTACAACTGAGGATGACTTTGAACTTGTGAATGCCCCTGCCTCTACCTCCTGAGTACTGGGATGGCAGGATGCTCTACCAAAGTTTATACAATGCTAGGTATCAACTCAGGACTTCAGGCTTGGTAGGCAAACACTCTACCAACTGTACTAGATCCCCAGCCCCGCCTTTTACATTTTGATTCCAGAAAATCTGTCTTCAGAAAAACATTGAAAGTGCTGACAAACGTTATATGTTCCCTTGTGACATTATTTACAAAATCAAAGATGTCACAGGAACTTACAAGTCTAAAATAGGAAACGGTTGGGTAAGCCACACAGCAATATACGGACAACAGTGTGGCTAGCAAGACCGTGTCAAGTGAAGATTATATGACATGGTAAGTATCAAGCTCAGCAGTGGGGGGGCTGGGTTTGGATATTTTGTGCTGTGATTTTTTGTGTTTTGTTTTGTTGAGTCAGGGTCTCAGTATGAAACCCTTGTTGGCCTGGAATTCACTTCATAGACCAGGCTGGACTTGAACTCACAGACACTTGCCTACTTTGGTGCTGTGATTAAAGTCTTGTACCATGATGTCTGGTCAATAATAACTTTTAAAAAGCATAAAAAGGGGCTGGAGAGGTGGTTCAACAGCTAAGAGCAAAGAGTGTTCTTCCCCAAACTTACATCTATCTGTGGGCGCCAACACGTCTGGCCTCCTTGGGCACCTGAACTCATGTGCGCATGAGTGTGTATTCCTGCAAACAGTCTTTGGGGAAAAGCACAGAATGAAAAGTACAGGGACACTAAAATCACAACTAAATAAAAATCCATGAAAATGAAATATAGAAAAACATTCTAAATTGTGTTTCTTTTTTTCTCTCCAGATTTTCTGTAAACTTGAAAATTTCCACATCATCTAGATAAATATCTTCCAGTATTTTTCAATTTATTTATTTATTTGGATATAAGGTTTCCCCACGTGTCTCATCTGTCAGAGAACTCACTAAGTGACTGAGCAACACTTGGGACTCCCCTGACTCTCCTGAGTTCTAATATTACAGGCCTAAGCCAGCGATCTGATCTGGTAAACTCAAGAAAGAAAGCCGAGAGCTGAGGAGGCGACCCAGCAGGGAAGAGCACTTGCTGTTCTTGCAAGAGGACCCAGATTCGGTTCCCAGCACCGGCATGGCAGCTCACAACTGTCCATAACTCTAATCCCAGGGAATCCGACTTCGTCTCCTGGCTTCTTCAGTCATGCATGTGGTACACAGACGTACATGCAGGGGAAGCATGCACACATATAAAATAAAAATATCTTTTTAAAGGAATAGAGTTAGGTGTGATCCACGTGCCTATAGTCCCAGAACTTGACAGGGTATCAGGGATTCACAGAATACTCTGCTCCACTGTGAGTTGAAGGCCAGCCTGGGCTACATGAGACTATGTCTCAAACAAAATAACAAAGCTAAGGCCGGGAATGTGGCTCGGTGGTAGATTGCTACCCTAGCATTCACAGAGCCCTGACCTCAATCTCCAGCAGCTCAAAACCAAACAGTACCAGGCGTGGTGACACACACCTTTAATCCCAGAACTTAGAAGGTAAAGGCTGGCAGATCTCTGTGAGTTCAAGGCCAGCCTGGTCTACAGAGTGAGTTCCAAGCCAGTCAGGGCTACACAGTGAGACCCCATTTCAAAGACAATTGAAAAAAAAAAAAGAAGAAGAAATCTCAAATCCCAGTCTTAAATGCTGTCTGTGGGTGAATGATTCCAGTTTTTTTGTAGTAGCAAGGCCATACAAAACTGTGTGCCAGGTATGGTGATTTGTGCCTATAACAAACAAAAATCCCACCCAGATATATATATATTGTATACTTCCTTCAAAAAAGTTACAACTCAGATAATGTTTCTTTTCTATAAGAAATGAACAAGAACTAGTCTGTGGTGGCTAATCTCGGTGCTCAGCAACCTCACCTGCGTGTGTCTGACTCCCTGGAGGTGGAATTACACGAGGCTGTCTATGTAAAGTGCCTGAAGAAGGTGCCAGAAGTCAAACTCCAGCCCCAGAAGAGCAGTGCACACACCTAACCTCTGACCCACCTCTCTAGGCTGGCTTTGTGCCTGCCTTATCCTCCAAGAGTGAAACAGTGAAAGGCCCACGCCTTTAATCCACCACTCAGGGACACAGAGGCAGGCGGATATCTGTGAGTTTGAGACCAACCTGGTCTACAGAACTAGTTCCAGGACAGCCAAAGATACACAGAGAAACTCTGTGTGGGGGGCGGGGGGAGGGTGGGGGGAACCTCTTTGATTAGTATGTCAGAATTATATTAATTATATTAGAAAAGTAGGGTTCTCTTTTTTAGGGGGATGGGGGCCTCCTTATGTAACCTAGGCTAGCCTTGAAGTACAAATCCTCCTGCCTCGAGCTGCTGAGTACTGAGATTACAGATATGTAGACAAAGCTTGGACTTTTTTTTTTTTTTTTTTTCAGTACTGGAGATGAAACTCGGGACCTAGACGGCCGGATAAGCACCATGCCACTGAGCTACATGCCCAGCTCTTGAGCCAGACAAGGCTTTTAGTGGCAGTTTACAAAGGTGGGTGCCTGGCAGAAACTCTCTCTCTTGATGGTGCAAGGTTTTATCACCCCACCCACCCCCCACCCCCGCCGTCTCACCCACAATCTTCCAAAACCTGCCAAGGCTGTAGAGTTAAAACCCTTATAGATAATCATCCCCGTGCTCTTATGCACTTGAACTAGGCACAGACAGTAAATACACTTAAAAGGAGGCCCGTTAATCCTTTCCAGCAATGCCGCTCAAAAAGAGAGAAAAGTGCCTGTTTGTCAACTTGAAGGAAATGGCTAACTTAGATGGAAAGGAAGGAAGGGAGGGAAGGAGGGAGGGAGGGAGGGAGGGGGGGAGGAAGGAAGCTAAAAATTCAATCCTCTATGAAAAAAATTCAATAAGCAAGAATCAGACTTATTAGCCCAGGAAGCCCTCTACCTTCAGCATCTTTACTTACAAATAAATACGCGACCAAGGGAGTCAGATTCAGGTCACCTACCTGATCGGAGGGATCTCCGTCTCAGCGTGCAGCAGGTGCTTATGAATCTCGAGTGTAGTTGAATTTAAGTTCTTTGGGCAACTTGGCAATTCTGGCAAATACGGCATTTTGTGACATTCTTTGGGCTCTTCTAGACCAAATGCTGTGGGGCATTGTGATTAAAAAAATCATAATTCTCTTGGTTAAATGCACATTTCTTCTACCACTTACTAAAATGCATAGTACTGCAAAGGAAACCGGGCACCGAGGAAAGGGCAGGAAGCTGCTGCCGTTTGCTCTCCCAGGAGAATGACTGCCAAATGCAGTCAGACTGAGCACAGGGAGGAGGAGACTTGGAGGGTGGATAAGAATGGGAACAAGGAGAGTCGGGCATGTTGCCTCGTGTCTGCAATCCCAGTGCTGGGAAAGCTGAGGCAGGAGGATCATAAGTTCAAGGCCAGCCTGGGCAATTTAGCGACACTGGGTCTGAAGATAAAAAGCACAAAGGGATTGGAAAGCAGCTCAGTAACAGGGCTCACCAAGTGTGCGCGAGGCTCTAGGTTCTGCCCCCAGAATCCTACCTGCCCTTCCCCCAAAAACAAAAATATGAGCAGTAGCAGCAAAAGAAAGGGTGTCCAGCTCTCCGCTGCCTCCTCTGTTTCATTTAGAGTCCACAGAGTATGTAGATAAAACCACTTTCAAGACTTCTGCATTGCCTGCTGCTCAGTGTGTCCTGCTCTTGTGTAAATAACCACAAAGCAGAAATTACATGATCTGAAATCCTACCCTTTGCATCGATTTGAAGTTTCTCTCCATGAAATTCATACCAAATCCGTAAAAACCAACACAAAGTGTCCAGATTGCTCCCACTGACTCCACAGTTTTTTTAAAATTGTTTTGTTTGGGTTTTAGGGTTGGTTGGTTGGTTGGTTGGTTGGTTGGTGGATTGGTTGGTTGGTTGGGATTTTAATCAAGACAAGGTCTCTCTATGTAGCTCAGGCTGGTTTTGAACTTGCAACAATTTCCCTGCCTCCCAGGAGCTAGAATCACAAGTATGCTCCACTATACTTAGCTTCAAGTTGTTTTCTTTTTTCTTCATCAATCCTTCTCACCTCACTTACTAAGGCAGAACCCAGAAGAACCCAGAGCTGTCAAGTTAAACTAGTTTGTTCTGGTAATGGCCGCTCTCTTCCTCCGGTGTGGTGGATTACAGGAGGGCTGCCATTCCTACAGACCTGTTCATGTGTTCTGGGGACCTGAACTTGCCTACTCAGCAAGTGCCTTACTGGCTGAGTTCTTTCCTCAGCCCCAAGTTAAGAAATCAAGACAGGGCCTGGAGAGATAGCCCAAAGGTTTAGAGCGCTGGCTGCTCTTCCGGGAAGAGGGTTGCTTTCCTAGCACCACACAGCCGCTCACAACTGTCTGCAACTGCATTCCAACGGATCCTACACCCTTTTCCGGCCTCCGCGGGTACCAGCTACCACCTGCTACACAGACGCACATGCAGCAAACACTCATGTACAGAAAACACAAACAATAAACACATCTTCAAAAGAAATAAAAACAAAGGCATTAAACAGAAAAGGTAGATTAAGAGGCTAAAAGCTTAAAGGTCACAGTGGTGCCATCCTGAAATCCTAGCACTTGGGAGGTGGCCGCAGGAAGATGAGGAATTAAAAGACCAGCCTAGACTACAAGTTCAGGAGTAGCCTAGGGCATGTAAAACCCTGTTAGAAAGAAAAATAGGAGAAAAAAGGTAATTGTTTAAAATCTGTAGCTGAACATTGTAGAGCATGCTTATAGATAGCACCAGAACTTGAGATGCAGAAGCAAGAGGATTTCAAAGATTCGTGGCAAGTCCCAGGCCAGGACAGCATAAAGAGGCGGCCTCAAAACAATTGAAAAATGTAAGTAATAAATAAAACAATTTTAAAACATAAGTAAATAAATAAAACGCATGTCCATTGCTCGCAGAATATTAATCTTAACTTGCTTCCCCTTCCCCTTCCATAAACTTTAATATGCTAGACCAATATAAATGTCCAGGAGTTCCATAATGTCTCTTGACTGCCTAGGGGAGAAACGGAGGTAAATTCCAGGCATCCCTTCTGTTTCTCCCAGAGAATTACAACTGAAATGAAATTACCTTTCCTCATCTTCTGGGTTTCCAAAACTGCTTTCCTCCAGCTACTCTCGAACAGAAAGCAGTTGTCCAAGGAATGTCTACTGACTTTGGAAGCCTCAAATTTGATCTCAGGAGATAGTATTGCCATTTTCTCTTCTTTCAGTAGCCCGGATGAGAAGGACACGCTGCTCCGGGGCAGGGGAGGCAAGAACACAGGCATTTCTTGTAAATATCTTTTCTCATATTACCGTGAAGACTAAATATTAACACACATCTACTATCATGTGGAAATATGCATTCTTGGAGGTTTATTTTGCTTATTGAAAGTCTCACTATATAGCACTCGACTAGCCTGGAACTCACTATGTAGACCAGGCTGGCCTTGAACTCACAGAGATATAGCTGCCTCGGCCTTGAAGTGCTAGGATTGAAGCTGTGTGCCACCGTGCCCAGCAGAGTCTTGGGATTTGAAAGCTAGAGAGTTTTAAGAATAAAGTTGGCTATGTTTTAAGCATTTAAATGAATGTTTTCATTTGGTTGGCATTTTGAGACAGGGTCTCAATTAACTTAAGCTAAAGAGAACTCTGCAAGGATGGCCTTGAATTTCCGATCCTCCTGCCTCCGCCTCCCCAGAGCTGGGATAACAGGAAGATACTACCACTTCCAGTACTTTGATATCCTTGGAACCTCGTAAGTGCTTTTGATGTCATAGGATTGGTGGCCAAAGAGACAAAGGCCAAAGGAGACCACTCTCTGAGTGACACCCATGAAAATGACCTCAAGTGAAACATGAAGTCACTGATAGCTTCCAAACTCTTCAAAGACACTCAGTTCACCAGGCATGTTGGCACACACCTTTAATCTCAGCACTCGGGAAGGAGAGACAAGCCAATCTCTGTGAGTTCGAGGCCAGCCTGGTCCACATAGGGAGTTCCTGGACAGTTGGATCGACATAGTGAGACTCTGGCTCAAAAAAAAAAAAAAAAAACCTCTTAGAATCACAATAATCAAGACTCCATTCTAAGAACTTTCTTTTTATCTACAGAGAGAACTGGATAACTTTCAGCTTCCAGCCTGCCTCCTGCTCCCTTTCAACAGCCCAGGAAGTGAGGCAGGAGACATAAGGCTGTTTTCTTTCAGTGGCGGAGGGAAGACAGGGATGCTCAGATGGACTTCCGAGCATCTCACACTGGAACAGCCTCCTTGAGGCATTTTATCCTGCTAAAATGTTCTTAAAACTAGATTTTTTTCTAGAACATCCACACACTAAATATACAAAGACCCATTACACTAATCTCTAATCTCTAAATCTATGTTTGACATTTTTTTATGATAAAAGTTTGTTTGAAAGTCCACATTTGAGAGCCTGGTATTGTGGTGAAAAGCTTTAATCCCAGCACTCGGGAGGCAGAGGCAAGGTGGGAAATTCAAAGCCATACTGGTCTATATAGTGAGCTCTAAGACAGCCAAGGCTAGAGAGAGAGAGAGAGAGAGAGAGAGAGAGAGTCCATACTATGTAAACTGTAATCCCAGGAGTGGAGAGGTAGGAGAATGGGAACCTTAGGGCCATCCTTGGCTAGTTTGAGGCCAGCGTGGGTGGTATAAGACTGTCTCCAAAAAAAAGCTTTTTTTTTTAATAAAGAAAGAGAAATAAATTTAAAAATATGAACTGAAAAATAATAATCCAAATTTGCAAATTATCTACAACTTCAAGAATGTATTGATATAATAAAAAACAAAATACTAGCCAGGCGTGGTGACATACATTTTTAATCCTTGTACTTGGGAAGCAGAGACAGGTGGGTCTCTGTGAGTTCAAGGCCAGCTAGGTCTATTTAGAGAGATCCTATCTCAAAAATAAAAAACAAAAACAAACAAACAAACAGAAAACCACCCTGCACATTCCACACCACACGTGTGGAGGTCAGAGAAATCTGTGGGAATTGGTTCTCTCCTTCCACTTTGTGGATCTCTGGTATCAAATTTAGGTTATTAGGCTCCTTCATCTGCTAAGCTCTTACTGGCCCCAAACCAAATGCTTTTCTGATGTTTCTCATAAACACAATCTCTACCAAGGCAGGCAAGCAGAGGAAATAGACTGATGCCCTAAGATCCCCATATGCTTTGGGGTTATGCACATACATCCTCTTGTCATAAGACAGTAACTGACTTCCTTCCCTTGCATATAACTACTCACACACACCCTCTCCAAACAATGCATCTAGTGACTTCAGAAGCCGCCCCACCCCCAACCCCCGCCCACCATCTGCATTTAGACCACACATACTCCCATCTCTGAAGTTTTCAAATTTGGACAGTTTTGCTCAGGTGTATTCCCAATGTATCTGGTATGGAGACAGAAGGGCCAGTCGGACCTAAACTAGTTTTGGTTGCATGCATAGTAAGGCAAAAACTGTCTTCTACTAACTTTATAGGAAGGATCCACTATTTACCATCTTATGCTTATGTATAATTGGGTGTGCATATGATGAAAATCAGATGCAATGTAAGGAAGGACATGCCCAATGGAGAAGTCATTATATAACCTACCAATCAAAATAGATAACCATCAAGAAAAGCCCTTTAGTAACCAAGTCCTTAAAAGGAAGCTCAGAACAACAGTCAGGGCCTTTGTCATTCATGCTGTCCCATGTCAGTCTTGACAGTGTTTACTCCTATAGTCTACACTGCTGCTTTGCTCTGAAGAAAGTCATCCCACTTTTGAAAATATGTCTGGGCTCTTACGTTCAATTCTTGGATAAGAGGCCAAGAACTTGGAATCACCTGACCCAGGCTTAACATGATGGTCTTTATTCATCCATTTCCTGCAAATGACATCATTTCATCCTCTGTATATCTGGCTAACACTCTAATGTGCCACATTTCCTTTATTCATTCAGCCACAGCTAGGCCCCCAGGCTGATTCGGTAACCTGGCTGAATGCATAGTGCCATAATCAGCATAGCATTGCAGGTATCTCTAGTGTATGATGGCTTTGATTCCTTCAGTTATACGCCAGGTATGGGTGGATACGGGAAGCAAATGCACCCCTGTATGAGTGAGCATTCATGACATGAGCACAGCCATGTCAAGGACCCTAATACCTCCGACCTATGGGAACGGCAAGGCCTTCCCCAGATCCCTGTCTGGATGCTAACCATGTGTGCAGAATGCTTCTTCATCCTGGATGACTGAAGCCTGAGACCACTCTCCTGCAGAGACCTCCTACTGAGATCAGCTAATCCACCCATTCAGCTGTAAATACCAGTAGGCTGCTGATTTGTCTCACATAGCCCACCCCATCCCAGTCGCGTCTGCAGTTTCTTCCCTCACTGTTACCCCAGTAAGGTCCACCCCAGAGCTGTGCCGGTCATGGAAGGTAGATACTATAGTAGTTCTATTTTAAGTTTATTGAAAAATTCCTGGTAAACCTGTTGGATTTCTGCTGTACTATAATATCTTGCTTTTCATCTCTATCAGTTTATATCTTCTCTCTCTTGGTGAGCTTCTCTAAGGGTTCATCAGTCTTGTTAGCCTACTCACAGAACCAGCTCCCTGTCTTCCTGGTTCTTTGTATTGTACTTCTGGCCTCAATTGCACTGAGTTCAACTCTGGATCTGTATTCCTCCTTTCATTCTACTGGTTTGGGAATTGTTCTTGTTTTTCTAAGACCTTGAGATGCATCATCAAGCTACCTGAGAACTCTGTCTTTTTAATGTAGGATCTCAAGCTATACATTTCTCAGAACTGCCTTTGCTACATCTCACATGCTTCGGTAGAAGGTGTCTACATTTTAAATTTTTTTCTAGTAGCTTTTACATTTTTCTCCTTATGTCTTCAATGACCTGCTCACTCTCCAGAAAGGTGTTGTCTACACGTGTGTTTATGTGGTTTCTGTAGTATAGATTGCTGTTGATTCCTAACTTCATTTCTTTATGATCTGATAAGGTGCCAGGAATTATTTCAAATGTTTTAAATTTCTTAAGACTTGCTTTGTGGCTTAAAAATAACTATTTCAGAGATATATTTTTGAGGAAATTTCCATAAAATATGTGAAAAAATGTGTATGTTGCAGTTTTTGGATGAAGCTTCAGAGTCTGTTAGCACCATTCATTTATCATCTATCATTTATAATATTCTATAATCTATCATTATTAGTTCATCTCTGAAGTTCCTCCAGTGATCCCCCCATGGGGTGTTTCTGGGCCACCAGTCTATTGGTAAGAATAGGGTATTAAAGTCACTCACTATAATTATACTGGGGCCTCCATGTCTCTTTATGTCCAGTAATTTTTGTTTGATTGTGAAGTTCTAGTGTTCTGTTTGTTTTGTTTTATAAATTGGTTACATCAACATTTGGTGCATATATATTTTCACTCGTTATGTCCCCTGATGATTTCCCTGTAGTACTATGAAGTGGACTTGTTTCTTCTAATTTTGCCTTGAAATCTGCTTATTAAATATGAACACAGTTCATTTTGCTTCCTTCCAGATTCCAATTGCTTGGAGTATTATTTTCCATTCCTTCAGCGTGTGTGTGTGTGTGTGTGTGTGTGTGTGTGTGTGTGTGTGTGTTTGCTGGTGAGGTGTGTTTCTTACAAGAACAAACAGTTGAAAGTTGTTTTTTTAATCTAATTAGCCAATCTATATCTTTTTTAAAAGATTTATTTATGTGTTGTATATGAGTGTGTAGTAGAATATTTTAAGGTGTGTTACTTTTGTTCCTATTGCATTTGTTTAACTCTGTGAAGCTGTGTTACTGTGCCTGTGTAAAACACCTGATGGACTAATAAAGAACTGGCCAATAGCAAGGCAGGAGAAAGGATAGATGGGACTGGCAGGCAGAGAGAATATATAGAGGGAGAAATCTGGGAGGAGAGATCTAGCAGCCAGAGAAGAAGGACACCAGGGGTCAGCTGCCCAGCTACACAACCAGCAAGCCACAGAGTGACAGATTTACATAAGTAAAAGAACAGGAAAAGCCCAGAGGCCAAAGATAGATGGGATAATTTAAAGTTAAGAAAAGCTGGCTAGAAACTAAGCCAAGCTAAGGCTGGGCATTCATAATAAGAATAAGCCTCCGTGTATGATTTATTTGAAAGCTGGGTGGCAAGCCCCGCCCCCAAAAAAAGAGCAAAACCCTCCAACAATATTAGTTCTTTTTTCTGCATGTATGACTTTATTC